TTTAGGTTTCATTTGTGCAGGTAAGCTATGCGTTACCAAGTTAACTGGTGGAGAATTTTCTTTGTTTTTCATTTGGACTTTTTTTTTTTGAAATTGCAACCAAGAGATGCGTTTTCTAATTGATTTTAAAGGAATGTGTAGTTAGTGGATGTAGCCGTTCAATTTGTCAGTTTGTCATTTTGAAATGTTCGGAGAGCAGGCGCCTAAATAATATGATTTTGCCTCTTAAACATTGCTTTCGATTGTAGTCTTGTGTGCCAGATATATGTGGCATTCATTTTATATGTGCTTCATTCGAGACTGTGCTACATGGTCATGAAGATGTCGTTTGGGAATATGCAGGTGCGTTGTTCTAGTAGGATTTGTATTTTGTATATTCTTATCAGCGTAGTATAGTAATTCAGATCAATCTCTGATACTTTATTTAGTCGTAAAAAGTTTGTACAGAAGATGTACTCGTTTGACCTGGTTGTCACCATCTTCATAATTGCTTTGATATTCGGATCCATTCATTATATTTTTCCATAAGGTTATCCGAGGATTCTGTTAAAGTCCATATAGAATTTATAAATCACTGTTGACTGATCTTATTGTGGTGTTCTGGTGCCTTGCTTTAGCGCAAATGCTTCGATTGCGTCATGGAGACAATAAACAAAGCGAATTACTGAGGTATGCCTCGGCGACTTTGGGGAGTGGAAATCTGCGTGAGGCTGTAAAATTGCCACAGGGTGAAGATCCAAATGAATGGATCGCTGTAAATGGTATGTACACTTCTTTGATAATCAGAAATCTTTTCTGAGGGTTGTTATTGCAGATTATAAATTCTAGAAGTTGCTGGTATTGGTATCTACTTGTACTCATAGTAAATGAAACAGATGGGAAGGGAATTGGGGCGAGTTGTTTATTGTTGCATCAGCAGAAGATGAATTACAGTTGTAACTTTCAGTTCTGGATTTTTTCAACCAAGTGAGTATGTTGTTCGGAACAATAAGTGATCACTGTACGAAGGAATCCTGCCCTAGGATGCGTGCGGGTTCGAAACATGAATACGTTTGGTCGGACGGGAGGAAAACAATTGCGTGTCCGGCACCCGTGTATATTGATTATTTGATGACTTGGGTGCACGAGCAGCTAGATGACGAGAATGTCTTCCCGTCCCAGATTGGTAGTTCTTTTTCCTGCTTAATTGCTTACATCCCTCTGGGTGTCCTTTTAGTTTTTTCAGCTTGTACTTGTTTTTCTTGTAGTAGATCTTTAATGAGGATTTACGGTGCAAGTTTGTACACTTAAATTTATGATCGACTTTTCTCTGTGACTTTTCAACAGCGTCATTTGAGTTCAGGGCAGCCCTTCCCGCCAGATTTTTTGCATATCGCACAAGCGGTTGTGAAACGACTATTTCGAGTATATGCTCATGTGTACCATCAACACCTCGAACTTATTGGTATGTACTTCCGATCCCTTACACCACTCAATTTATGAAATCATTCATCGTTTACAAGTTGCTGTATACCTATACTCGTCATGCAGCCTCTATGAAGCTTACAAAGATGAGTGTTATCAGGTAACGTAAAATGAACGTAAAAAAAAAAAACAGTAAGCGACTAGAGTGATTCACACTTGTTGAATTGAGACGGAAAGTTGAGCGGCTAGATTGTTGTACTTAACCTCAAGCTAGCACTTTTTTCTATTTAATGAAATCCCTGCTGCATGTTCAGTTATTGCTGACATCCTATTAGATCACCGACTTTTTTGGAAAGAACACATTTTATCGAATTTACTTTCTTTAATTCTGCTAAGTTTACGTTTTCACTCCGAGTACCACTTGCAGGCGGGGTATAGACAGCTTTGAAATAGATGAGAAATTGTAATTTTCCCTATATTTCAGAACAACTTAATGCAATAGAGCATTTAAATACCAGTTTCAAACACTTCATGCTTTTTATACAAGAATTTAATTTGATTGATTCAAAGCAACTGGCACCTCTGCAAAGTTTCATTGACCGACTTACTCTGGAAGAGAATTCAACAGTGCTATGACAGCGATTAGCTTTTTGCTACTTCCCTATGACGTGTTTTTTTTTGCTTGAAACCATGAATATGTCTCAAATAGCCTTCGATAATATTATCATCTGCTTCTTCGGAAAGTAGCAAATGCTTTCTAATGTTTTGCTTGAGTTGGTTTTTTCATCCATATGCGAATATTGATG